GGGGGGGGGGGGGGGGGGGGGGCGCGGCCGGGGGAGGCACCTACCCAAAGCGCCCCCGATCGGTGGGTTGGTGTCTGGCAGCCCCCGGCACTGCTGCCTCCCTGCTTGCCCCCCTTTTTCCTCTTTGCATTTCCCCGCGATGAGCATCATATCCCCTGACTGTGTCCGGGTGCGCCATCGTCCGCCACTTCCTGTGATGCCCATCTCGCCGCTGGCGACATCGGTTGCTGACCCTCGGTTCCTCCTCCCCCCCCCCCCCGCCGCCGATGTCGGCCAGCTTATTGCCGATCAAAATGATGTGGCCCTGGCGGATGACGATTCGGCCGCTGCCCTTGCGCTGGATCTGGAGACCCACCTGCGCTTGGTAATCCAGGCACGAACCGAAGAATTAGATCCCCCCTCCCCCCCCCCCCCAGCCATGCGCCCTGCTCGGAGGCTAACCGGCCCCTTCCCGCTCTCTCCCCCCTCCGCTGCTCCCTCCCATCCCGTCCCCTTTGCAGGAGAGCCTGCAATTTATGAACCACAGCAACCGGTCTCGGCTGACCGTCGACGACGTGTCTAAGTCTTTGCGTGTGTTGAACATCGAAGTGCGCCCGGCATGCTGCCTCTCTCTCTCCCTCTTCTTCCCGTTGCTTTCCAGACTTCTCCCGGCCGCCCCCTGTGCTCTGACCTCTCTCTCGCGCCTCTTGGCGATTCAGCCTGTCCTCGGGTTCTCCGGACGCGAGCCGGTTCGCTTCAAGAAGGAGACCATTGCCTCGTCGTCGATTGTCACGCTGGAGGCCGGCGGGTCGACGGCTCCGGGGACTTCGAGCACCGGCGGTGCGAGCGCCGCGCCGCCCGGCACCTATGAGGTGTACTCGGTCGAGGATGATGAAGTGAACCTGTCGGAGCTGCTGTCGATCCCCCTGCCGCCGCTGCCGATTGAGATCAGCTATACCGGTGCGCGCACATGTCCTTTGCTGCTGCTGCTGCTGCTGCTGCCTGTCCCTTTTGTCGCCCCCTTCTCCTGCCGCTCGCGGGCAATATCCCTGACCTTTCGTCCATTTACGCAGCGCATTGGCTCGCGGTTGAGGGTGTTCAGCCGGCCATCCCCCAGAACCCTACCCCCATCCGTACGCACGAGCCGCCCCCAGTCGCTGCCTTTTCCCCCTTTGCCCCTCCACAGGCAACTCACTCCTCCTCTCGGATCTGCTCGACCTTCCCTCCCCCCTCCCCCCTGTCCTTTGTCTCCCCGTAGATGTGGACTCATCAAAGCCCCTGAACGCCGAGGCCCTGTCCACGGACGAACGCGTTGAGGTCAAGGTGCGCCTCTCTGTCTTTTGATCGCCCCTCCCTCCTCTCACTGTGTACATGTTCCCCGGGCTCGGTTCTCACCCCTCCTCCCCCTTGCTCTCCCCTTTCATCCGACCTTCAAAGCCTCTCGTGAAGCATGTTCTTTCGCCGGAGCTTCGGGCCTACTATGACCGGATGATCAGCTGCATCCTTCAGCCGGACGAGGCCATCCGGGATGTGCGCTCAACTGCGTGTCGCTCTTTGTCCCTACCTGCTCTCTGCACTCCTCGCTGCCTTCTCCCCGGGTGCTTCCTTTCACGCCAGCTCACCCTCGCCTGCTCCCCTCCCCCTTTCTCCCTGGGCATGTCCATCCTAGTCGGCCCTTCAGTGCCTGGCATCGGACTCTGGCATCCACCCGCTGATTCCCTACCTGTCGCAGTTCATCACCGGCACTGTGTCTTCCAATGTCCGGCACCTGCCAGTCCTCCGGTCCATGATCCAGATGGTGGCCGCCATCCTCTCCAACCCGGGGATCTTCATTGAGCCTTATGTGCGTGCCTTGGCTCAGGGGTTTTTTTCCCCGCCCGAAGGGGGGGAAGGAGGGAACAAAGAAGAAGGGCCGGCACCCAGCAGACATGGCCCCTGGCCAAACTCCACCTCGACGCCTTCGCTGACCCCTTGCCTTCCACCTTCGTCTTGGGCCCATGTCGCTGCAGCTGCACCAGCTGATGCCAGCCATCCTCACTTGCCTCGTGGGCAAGACCCTGTGTGCCGACCCGGCGAAGGACGATCACTGGAGCCTGCGCGAGGCGGCAGCTGATGTGGTAAAGACCATCATCGTGTGCGTGCTTGGCGGCCCCCTCCCCCCTCCCCCTTTCCGACCCACCTGTCGCAATACTGTCGCAGCCATCGCTCACCCCCCCCCCCTCTCCCTCTCCTGCTTGTTCTGCCCTTCTTTCAGGAAATACGGTCGGGCATACCATACCCTTCAGCCGCGGATATCGCGCACCCTGCGAACGGCCCTGTTTGCCGGGCTGACGGCTCCCGGGGCCGAGCTACCGATCGACACGCCGATGGCCGATGCCCCCGCCCCGGCCGAACCCAATGCGGCTCCTGGGACCGATGCCACCGGTGCCGGGACCACTGCCGCCGCCACCGCCACCGCCACCACCACCACCCCCGCCACCACCCCCGCCCCGGCTGCGGCTCCCGCTGCGGCGTCGGCTCGGCCATTGACCACGCGCTTTGGTGCCCTTCGCGGCTTGGAGGCCCTTGGGCCGGAGTCCGTGCGCCTGCACATCCTCCCTTTCGCCGCGGCCCTGGCCGAGTCCTTCCAGGCGCAGCTGGCTGACCGGCTGCCAGCTGATGCCGGAGACCGAGAGCGAGTCCGTGCTCGGCGCCGGGATGCTGATGCCCGCCGGTGCCTCGGTGCACTGGTGGACACGGTTGGGCGCCTCCTCCGGCGGGATCTCCAGCAGCTGTCGGCTCTGGAGTTGCGCGCCATGCTGGCTGGAGAGGGCGGCACCGGCCCCAATGATGTGAGCTCGGTCAAGTCCCGGACGGTACGTTCACCCCGTCACTTCTTCCCTCCTGTGTCCAACTCTGACCCTCCTCCCCCCTTGCAGGCGCACTTGATTGGGGATTCGCAACTGGCCGGCGAACTGGTCGACGCACTGGGTGCCGAGGCACTGGCCCCCTTCGTCCGAGTGACTCTTCCCGGACCCGGTGGCCAAATCCCTGGCCCTGCCGGCCATCGTGGCTCGGATTCTGTCATTGTCTGAGTTGTCGCTGGTCGCATGGGTCTTCCGCACCGGCCCCCTCTCCTTCCTCCCTTGCCCTGCTCCCCCCCCCCCCC